TAAAAAAGTTGGGCTGCTGCAGTAAATTAGATGGTAAAATATGGCATAGCATTTTTAATTGGCTGTAGCAGCCAATTTTTTGTTACAGCAGCCAATTTTTAGCCTATCCGCAATGTTAGTATAAGATTTCGATAGGCTAACGTAACCAAAAATTGACTGCTGTAATCAATTAAAAATGCTATGCTATGTTTAGCCAATATTTTTTTTTCAGTATAAAAAACCACTTTTTAAAATTCTGTTTTTGGCAAGATATCTATAAATATCTAAAGACTTTAGCTCCATCGAAATAAAACATATAAGTTAAATCTATTGATTGTAAGGGGATCAAAGGTCAAGGTTAGTGAGATTTTTAGTGATATAGCGCAAAAGGAGGACTTAAAATGTTAAATAAAATTGTGTCGAGAAGGGCTACGAACCATAAGAAAACGATGTAATGAAAATAATATAGTGTATTAGACAAAGGTATAGCTACAAACGGCGTTTCAACTCCGATCGGATCATTCTCAATGTTAAACAAAACAAAATATAATTATTGAATTTAAATTATAAACGGCTTAATTAAAATAAAAATAAAAATTGTAACCGGCTTAAAAATAATTAATAAAAATACAGACTAATAACAGACGTAAGGTCGCTAGATCTTATCTTGTGGTTATCACGCTGATAAGTCAGAAGTGTTCTTTTGCGCATGGCATCATAAGTGTTACAACAGACTCCATTATCAATCAATAAGAATGTGTATGTAAAATGTTGTTGCTCTTTACAAATGTATCATGATTAAATTACCAAAAAGTTAAAGACTATAGAAACAGTAAAACAACCAATATAATAGTATAAAAATATAAAAATCTAAAAACAATTAGTATAAATTTAATAAAAGTGAAAATAATTGGATTGCATAATAAGTAAAACTAATAAAAATTACCTTAAAATATGTAAAACCAGTTATAATGTCCAAAATTAAAAGATAAGATCAGTCGAAATATAAAAATATGTAATATAAAGCAGATTGCGATAGAACGTCTTTATTGCCTAGCTAGGGCTGCGTTCCACTTAACAATCACAACGCTCGCGAGCATCGTTTGTCCTTGTTTAATATTTGATAAATGACAAGGATGAAATGATTCCACGAGCATTGTGAGCGTTAAGTGGAACGCAGCCCAAATGTTACGAAATGACGAAAATGTTAAAGTTACAAGTGGGGGGGAGAGGGGTAAGAAATGATAGGGAAAAGGTAAGGAAGAAAGGAGGAAGAAAATTGTGTAATAGGGAGATAGGATTCATATAGTGATTCCGTGTCATATTCTGCCTATTTGGATCTTGTCTTTGCCTTTTTATGTGAATCATCTCAGATATTAATCGCTTGTTGTAAAAAGACTCACTATATAAAATTCTTACTCTATTCCAATTAAACTCGTGGTTGCAATTAATTTTGTAATTAGTGATAACCGATGGTGGATCCCGTCTTATTATCTGATTTATGTTCCTGTAATCTACTTTTTAACTGTCTCTTCGTTTGACCTACGTAGCTGATATCACAATCTTTGCAATATATTTTATAAACAACCTCTTGATTAGATAAGAAATCTAATTGGTTTTTGCCTCTTTTTATGTAATTTTTAAGGGTGTTAGGGATGGAAAAGGCTAATTTTGAATTCATTTTAAGAGCAATGGACATAAAGCTTTCAGAAACCGATTTAACGTATGGTATAGTAAAAAATTTTTGAGCAATTTTTCCTTTTTTATTAAAAGGTTGAACAATATTGCTTTTGTGAATGTGATAATTTAATCTATTCCGTATAGTGAAAAAAATGAAGTGAAGAGGATAACCATTATCCAAGAAAGAGTGAGCTCGTAGCCCTTCTCGACACAATTTTATTTCTATTATTTGGGCTATTCTTTACTATATATTTAAAAATGTTAATTTTAAGAGATGTAATATATCAATTGTTATGTAATAATGTATACATTTTCAACAAAATTTTTCCAATTGTTACAGGTTGTTCAAACAGTTGTTTATTAATCTAATTACAATTGACGCTTTTTCATTATTATTAATTTGCAATGATTGTAATTATTTACCTTCTTCCATGATAGATTTTGGTGCTCTCTCGTTTTCGTCCATGATGGTTCTCCTGCGGTTTCTCGCCTTCCAAGCGTGATAAACTTTCAGTCTGCGATGAAATTCGTGACGACAAGCCTGGAATAAATAATTTTAAATAAAAAAAGTTACGATTATATAACCGATATGCGTGCACGTACTTCAAGTAACTCGATGTCGCAGGACGTATTGATTGCATCTCGCAGCTCAGAGTACTTCCACTTCGACAAATCGTACTTCTTGTTGCTCATAGCCGCCTGTTGATTACGAACCTGCTCCGATCTACATTGTAAACAGATACTTATAAGAAAATAATATGTAATCGCGGTTTTATAACATTCCATAATACAACACTTTAATATTGGAATATATCATGCGCTAAAAGACATATTCGCTGGTATTAGTCAACAAGAAAGTTATTACAAGCCGAAATTAGTACATCATGCGGTTCAGTGTGAGTAAAAAATCTACATGAGAATCTGAAAGTGTTAAAATAAATCTCACAATTAATAGTATGCCTAAAAATGTACATAGAATCATCTATTTTCTTTGACAGATTCTTCGAGAAATTACAAACCTTCCTTCGACAGGGAATAATTTATTTGCGGAATAAATTTTATCGAAGAATCGGTCGATGAAAAATGAACGTAGATTACTGCGTGCGATAAGGATTATTAATTCATTCGAAAAGGAGAATTTCATTAGCAGTTAGTCTTTCACACGTGAAACCCGAATAATTATACGGTACCTTATTAGCCTGTTGTTGTTCATAGGTGCTCGTACATCGGAGCCACTGCATCAATTTAAACAACAAAATAGCATTTTATTTCTGTTTTAACAACACTCTTGATTTTTCTCATATTTGAATCAACGAGTGTAAAATTATATGTATCGATCAATATACCGATGAAGTTACAATTAAATGAAACTATAACTGATAATTTTAATAATTCAGAAATCGTTTATATTTTGTACGTGCCAATTATATTAATCAACAAATAATATTTTACCTTCGTATAG